GACTTACCCTATTTTCAATGTATGATGGATTTATCAAGATGTAACCCAACCAAAGTTTAAGGAGCATTTATATAAAACTCAGAGAAATATAAATTTTAAACAATAATTAAATGATGTATTTTGTAGCTGGAATGGATTCCAAATATATTTAAGTAATAGTGACTAATTGTTGGTAATTTTTTTTTGTACTGGGGATTGAACTCAGGATCTTGTGCTTGTGAGGCAGGTGTGGTGCCACTGAGCTAAATCCCCAGCCCAATTGTTGGTAATTTGCATGAAAGTTTTCATGAAAGTTTAAAATGAAACACTATCAAAGGAGATTGTTATACCTGTTCAGGAACAACAGCTAAACATATTCATTTTCAGCATTACTTTTTAGGAGTGACTAATTTATGCTTAATATGGCACATTTATCAGTCCACATATATTATGTATTCATATTACCATATATTTAAAATCCCTGACATCTTGTGGGCACACTCAGATGATTTATAATACCAGATTTGGAATCAGATCTAGACAGTTTAAGATTTCCAGGGCAGTCAAATATTGATCTCAAGTTGCACACTTGACCAATTATCTGTGACAGCACTGGTAGTGATGAATTATCTACAAGCTTAACTGGCATTCGTGCCATGGATTTCCATGCTCTGAAAAACAGCAATCTGATATCTGTTGACTACTGCACCTAATGCCAATAATGTTAGAAAGAATAATTGTATCTTACATGTGATAAATAGGGCATCTTTCAGAGAGGTTGCACTGGCCTTTAATTAGTACTTACTCTTTCTTAACCCTATTTTAACTCTACCTGTTATAACACATCATTACGGAGCATCCTGTAACTTGTCCAAACAGAAACATGTGCACGAAGCTTCCATCTCCCCTGCTGGTTTTCAGTACATGATCGGAGTTGGATAGTCACTTTCTTCTTGTTACCATCAAAGAGAAATGAGCACGAGTAATTTTCTGTCAAAAAGACTCAATTAAAATGTGATTTTAAGGTGTCAAAGGAAAAAGCAACCACCATGAATCAACAATCAAGAAAAAGTAATTAAATTAAGTCAGTGATAGTGTGTAAATCTGAGCCATTATGCTGTTTTAAATTATTAGCCAAGAATGAATCTTTGTTACCATGCACAGAGGAATGTGTTGATTTTATATCATTTTTAGAACATGAATGACTTTATATGTCTGTTTTGCTCTTGGTGTTGCTAATGAAGAATTGAGTAGGATATTCCCTGCCCTTGAGCAAGTCACAATCTAATATATGAAATAAATGTCTCAGTGAAAAGTGAGTGGTATTATAATTCAAAGATTGAAAATCTAGGGTCTGGTGAGAGAGATGCCTACAACCCATGATACCACTAGATTGGAGTCGCGAGGGTAGCGTCTTGGATGGGGAGTGGCAGAAGAAGGGAGAGTAATACAGATACATCTCACTCTCAGAAAATGAGCTTGTACACCCACAATTCAAAACCTATGAAGATATCTAATGCTAAGGACGACAGCCAAGAGATTACTGATTATGACAAAAGTATATTAGATTAAGTAATTTTATTACAGGTTATAGTCAATACTCCATAATAAACACGCTAAGGGTGGGTAGAGAAAAAAAAAGGAAAGATGTGAAAAAGAGGGCAGAAATAAAACAAGAAAATTACACTAAGTGGATTTAGAGAGAAACTGAGAAATACTAAAATAAAATGAGTGTAAAATATCAATGGACGTGGTAAAATTTAGTTTGGAAATAGTTAAAGAAAAAAGTAGTAAATTAGAAGAACTGCTATGGTATGTATTCAGAATGCAGTAGGATAATAATATATAGATTATATCTATCTAAATTTATATTCCTGTACATATTTGAAGTACATACACACATACATGGTTGAGATGTAAAAGTCTTATAGAATGGCCACTAATGTGTCTAGAGATCAAGAATTAGAAGAGGAGAAATGATAGAAGTCATAGGCTGAACTATTTGTCAGCAAATATGTATTTGCCTCTACTGCCAAGCCCTCATGGGAGTAAACACTTCTCTACTCTATTAGTACTGGTTTTAGATATATGATCTTTTGGCCAGCGGAAGATGAAAAGAACTGACACTTTCAAGCCCATAACTAAGATATCATTGTACCTTACCAATAACTCCTCATATGGTTTACATTCAAGCATTGGTAGAAAGCATGCTTTAGGGGCTTGCTGCTGTCAGAGCAATGAGAGAACTGGAAGCTGACTGGAACTTACAGCTGCAGCTAAGCGTAGATCAGCCAAGCACTAGCCAACCTGCACACGCCCTCTGGAACACAGCTTCCTCAGCTCTTCTGCAAAAATGAAAACAGGAAATGCAGGCTTGTCTCATGCCACCAACTGCTGGGTGTGCACGCAGCTGTTTATTATGAAATCTTGTGGATATAACTAATTAATACAGGGGAAAGGCAACATACAAAGAAGAAACAGGTGAGAAATTTTCAAAATGGAAAAGAAGATGAGATCTCAGAAGAAATGTGAAAGATTAATTAAAACTGTACTTAGAGAAGTCCAGTAAGACTGTGGAGTAGACTTGGTTGGACAAAATCATAGTTGAGTACCTTTGGTGATACAAAATAAGAATGCTCACTCCAAGGCTAAAAATAAAATAGTTTATTTCTTCTCGAAGAGGTGATAAATGCTTACACAACATCCATTAAATAAAAAATAGCAAAATTAATGAAAGTAAAAAGAAGGAAAGAAAGTGTGGTTACATGGAAACCACAGAATAAGATGACAGAAGCTAATTTAAATATATGATTAATTCCATTAAATTAAAAATTTAGGGATACAAAAGATATACTTCATGATTAGGCAGAAAAAAAGCTGGTGCTACAAAATTAATATTAGACAAACTAAGCAAATGGCACCAAAACAAAGCATTGGTGTTCATAAAAGAAGACAAAAGAAAAGATTCATTCATAAGATCGTCTGATCATGATTTTTATGTGCATCTATCTCAAAGCTTCATAATATGTTAAACAAAATAGACAGAAGTAGGTGATATACTCATACCAGAAACTGGTAGACTGAGCAGTAGTAATACCTTGACAAATATATTTGTTTAAGAAAATTAAGTAATTCAGTCAAATGGATACATAAAATAATAAATTCAGCAGATGAATAATATTTGTTATTTCTAAATGCACATAAAGCCAGTTACAAAATCTATTTCAAAGATTAACTAAAATTGGACATTCTCTTATAACAATAAAATGGATTTTAAAATCATGGAAAAAAATATGAGAAAAGGAAAAAATGGAAACGAAGTCTCTGTAAATAGGGAGGGGTGGATGAGTTGAAGGGAGGGCAGGGGAATGGGGAAAAAATAAGAACCAAGATACATCATGTAAAGGTTCAAATTCCTAGTGATGGATGTCATCATATTGTATACCTAAAATGTACCAATAAACTTAGTGAATAAAAAATATCATCTATTAAAAGATGCCTTTAAAATCTCTCTTCTTTTGGAAAAAGGAAAACATTCCTAAATAACTCAAACATTAAAATATTATAATGGAGGTTGTAATATATTTTGGAATTTATGTTAATAGGAATAATCCTGATAATGCTAAAGTGAGTAATAGGAAGAAAAATAAAAGGGAGCTAGAAAATGATGAAATGTAAAACCAAGAGAAGACAAAATAATTATTTGAAAAATGTAATTTAATAGAGAAACCTATAGCAAAAATAAGAAAAAATGAAAGATGCAAAAGGAAGAACTATTACCATGTGGAATAGGCATTTATTTTTATAATATATATTTCAGGTATATAACATGATGGTTAGATACACCCACACATAATGAAATGATTACTGCAATCAAGTAAATTAACATATCCATTATTTAACATGAATATGTAAAATACATTTCCTTTTATTTTATGACAAGAACTGCCTAAATCTACTTTGTTGGCAAATTTGCCATATAGAATACAGTATTAGCTATTGTTCTCATGCATTTTTACATCTCTAGATTTATTTATTTTACATAACTGCAACTTTTACCCTTTGACCGACATCCTAATTGGACTGGTTCCCTATATTTGGTAATCACTGCTCTAGGATCTCCTTATAATGTATTCAACTTTTTTAGATCCCACACGTGAGATAATGCAGTGTTTTCTTTCTGTGCCTGGAGTTGATATGTAAAATGAACCACAATTACAAACTACCATAATTGTTTTGAATACATTTGAAAATCTAACTGACATGAATAATTTTAAAGCAAAATTGAATTAAAAATACACAAGCAAAACCAACATCCGCAGCAATTTGAAACAGCAATTGCAATGACCACCCTTCGAGATAAAATGAAGCCAAAATTTGATAAATCAACTGAGTCTATCAAATGCCAAATCAATCTACATTACTAAAATTGGAATAAAAGAGATTTTGCATCAATAAATAATATTGATACAGTGTCATAAATTTTTCCACATGATCCCTGAAATCATCTATCTTTTGTCAGTCTTGCTGGAGTTGCTAACTCACTCTCTGTCTGCCCATTAAGTCCTACTGCAGATGTCCCTTTCCCAGGAAGTTTTTAAATCTCTAGAATTCTTTGTTGTTCTCCTGTGACTGTAGACTCTACCTGCACCATTGTACCTGTGGGTATGTTCATCTCCTTAGCTAAACTGCAGAAAATCAGCCTGTGACATCCCCAGTTGTGCCCAGCTTGGTTCTTTTAGTAGAGTGTGTGTTTTTACCTAAGGCTGAAGACATACCTGAGTGTCACTTCCTTCCAGGTAAACAGTAGGGAGTTTTAAGCTGTGACATTTAAAAGAATGAATCCAACCTGGGTCCGAGGCCAAATGTCCTGTTGATTGCAGTCTAAGTTGGCATGCTGGCACACTGCAAGGTCCTTGAGACTGTTGGAGGGCAGAGGAGCAGAGGGAGTTCACTCACAGCCTTTGTCTGGCTGGGTGCCCCCTGACCTCACATTGCCCACTGCGCAGGTTCCGGGCAGCCTGGACTGTGATATAAAGTGTCCTTCGGGGTTCCAGATCACGTTACCAGGCATTGCAGTTGATTCTTGGTTTCTGGGCTGCTACAGCCTCTCTCAGAGCACTAAGAATCAGTTCTTTCAATGTGTGTATTTTCTGAAGAAATTGTAAAGCCACATTTGTTCTCAAAGCACAAATTGGGGAAAGCAGGTGAGTGACTACGCTATGTGCTAATATTTTTATTTTTATTTTTTTAGGTTTGTTTTAGGGAGAGTAGGTTGCATGGGCATTTTTTTTTAAGTGAATATGTAGTTTTTCTTTGTTTTTCCCCAAAATAAATGTACTAGTTTATTACTTTCTTTTTTCCAACCTGGGGGCCAATCCAGGGCCTTGGCACCAAGCTACATCTCCAGCCATTTTTAATTTTATTTTTTTTATTTGAGTTAAGGACTTGCAATGTTGCTGGACTCAATCTTGGTGATTTTTCTGCATGAACCTCTCTTAAAGTTCTGGGATTATAGACTTGCTACATTTTTCTTTATTGCTTTATATTTGCAATTTTGTGTAAACAATTAAATTCTTGTTATCATATATTTATTAAACATCAAAAAATGCTGCTTTACAAAAACAATTCACTCAGAGGAAAAGGAAACTCCATGCTATTAATGGCAATGTCTCTTTTCTGGTCACTGTTCCTCAGGCTGCGGCTCCCAGCTCTCCGATCTCTCGCTGGTGAAGCCATGGCATCAGTCCCTTCCATTGGCTGTCTTCTGGCCACAAATCAGTATTATCGAAGTAAGTTGTATGCAAAATACAGAATATCCCCAGAGAATATGATGAGAGGTGATGTTCGTGCAGCAGAGTTGACCTACACATCCTGAGCAGAATTTAAGGGAGAAAACTTGACAGCTGTTGGTGACAGTGGGAGAAACAAAGCTTGGAGACAAAGCTCCTAGAACCAGCCTTACCTTGGCTCATTTCTGGGCTTCAACCATGTTAGTTCTTCTTTCAAAATTATATTTTAGATTCATGTATTTTCTAGTTCATAAGAGTATTTTAAAACCTGAAAGATTTCGTATAAATAAAATAGTACTCAGTTCTTTAGAAACGGAGGCAGCATGACTTTGCTTCAAACATTTTACAATTTCCATTTTCTGCTGCAAATAATAAGTCAGCATTTGTCCGGCCAGTTTCATTCTTATTAATCTATTAATCTGGGCATATTCATGGATGAAGGGAACAGTGTAGCTTGTAAAGAAGACTGAGAAATTTTGTAAAGTTAACAAGTATTTAGAACCAAATTAATATTTATTGAAAACGTGGGTGCCAATAACCTGTAAACTTTCTTATTTCAAAGATTGTGCATAATGTTTAAAATATCTATGAACTTATTCTTTTTTTACAAAAGATTACATTATTCTTATTTATTTGTTGTTATTTTATCAACAGAAGTTATAGTCTGAGCTTTTAAATGACTTACTGATTTAAAATATAAGCCAAATAAGACAAAAATATTCTTTTAAAGTAATTTCTTAATGTCTAAACCTGGTAATTTTATAACATTAAATATGTCTATGTAATGTTTTAATATACTACAGCAATACAACTTTTTGTACTTCTTGAGTTTTTGAATTTGAAAACATTTATGACATATTTTAAATTCTATGTCTTTACCTATGGAGGAAGAGAGAAGAAAAGTTATTGACCATGGTAATGAACATGCTTTATTAGCAGGAAATGTAATATTCCTTAATATGGGAGGCTTCTCTTTGATTGAGGTTCTAACCAAATTTTCACTTAATTCATGACCCAAGGGTAAATGGCTTCAAACTGTTACTAAATATTTATCTATATAGACAATATCACGTGTTTCTTGTTTTGTCATTTACTTACTTGTTTCTGCTCATATCTTTTTCCTCTAGAACCTAGTATTTCTTCAGTTAGTTCATTGACTGGCACTGATTCTGTTAACATCATAGATGATGAGAAACCTCTACAAGGTGCTTAGTTTGTATCTTAATACCATCTTCATTATTTCCCTGTGTTTTTAATCTTTCAAATTTTTTGGTAAGAGATTTAATATGAATATTATTTGATAGGGTTACCTGAAGTGTCAGAATCCACCTGGTGGTTTAAATCCTTTTTCTACTCTGAACCTGTGAGAAGCAAAGCTCTGTCTGCCAGTGGGTGAGTTTTAGCCTTTTCTGATGAAGGCATTTCTTGCTTTCTGATTGAACCAGTGCATGCAGTAACCATCATGGAACCAATTAGGGGGACACACAGCAGGGCTTTGATGTGAGGACACCTAAGGGATGGAGCAAACAGCTGCTCCCCGTTGTCACAGCCGTTAATAGGAGCAGGAGCACCACTCCCCCGTCAGTTCCCGAGCAAAGACTGAAAAGTTATGCCAGTTTGCACCACTGTTTAGAGGAGGGTGATGTGGGAATATAAGGCTGGGTTCTAAATTTGTCTTCACAGTAGCTTCAGGAAAAGGGTGACAGTGATGAGGTTGCCATCGATCTAGAATGGTTACCTTCCTGAGTAACCTTGCTCAGACACCCTGCTGGTCCGTCAGCTTGTGTGCCTGGCCAGTTCTTAGACTGATGGAGCTGGCAGCTCTGTGAGCTGCTATTTCCACACACATCGAACTCTAGCACAGTGAACAGCACACTTGTTATTCTATTCCTTCTTTAAAAAAAGAAATCATGTTTTTCGTGTGTTTTGGAAATTTCAATAGCTCACTATTAAGTGGAATACAAGGAATATATAATTACAGTTCTTAACTCTGAGTTAAAAGATAGTGATTTTGATGAATTTCCCAAATAAAACAACTTTGAAATAGAATCAATATTTTAAATAATTTTAAAATTCAATGTAAGGCTAATTGTTGAAAAGATGTTTTAAATTTCTTTGTTGCTTGTAGATTTAAATTATCTGATGTTTCATTTTCCCACTTTACTTTGGCTACAAAGACAACCAAAATTACAGATAAGTATTTCAAAGCTAGTCACTTTTGCGTTGCTATTTGGTGAACACTGTGTTAATGTCGAATATTTTGTGCAGCATTCACAACTGATTTTGAAATGAAGATTTCTCCCTGCTTTGGAGCTGCAGAGTTGAGCTCTATCCTCGGTGTGCCAGCTAGTTCAGAGGACTCTTCTGACTTAGTGGTCATCTACGAGACAAGATAAAAAAGCCACCAGTATAGCAGAAGTTGGTGAATCCTCCTCAATGCTAAGAGGGTCACTGGAAGTGGCATCAGCCACATGGAGAGTGGACGATGTGCTTTTAGAGAAACGTACCTTATTAGAGCAAAGAGTCTTTTCATTATTTGTATTATTTTTATCTAGAAATTTAAGTTAGACTCTTTTTATGTCTGTCGAATGACTTATAATGCTTTAAAATGGAAGCATCCATGTTTCATGTAATAGTTTAAGTACTGGATTCTAAAGCATAGAAAAGTTGCAAAGTTGTATTTCAAATCATAAAAGTTGGAAATAGCATCATACCCTTAAATGTACTACCTTTAAAATACACTACTATAGATCTAATTGTGTAGAGTTTAAAATTCATGATCTTGGTACTTAAAAACATGTAAAATTATTATGGTACAACATTAAGAACAAAGTATGATAATCTAAATATATGATATAATGGTAGTTGTATTAAAAAGTTACACATGGATAGGAATAGATTAGAAGGAATGACACCAAAAGGGTGACAGAAGTTGTTATGTTTAGAAATGGGATAATGAATAATTATAATTTCCTTCTTGATATATTTTTCTGTACCTTCACATTTTCTAAGATGAAAGTTTTTGTGTATAAACATAAAATAATAAATGTTAATATAAAAATAAATACCAAAATAAGTTTTCTGAATATACATGTTCCCTAAATTTATCAGAATATTCTCTATTTTCTCCAATATTGGGTAGATAAATGTTAATGAGTTTTATTTGGAAACCTTTAGTGAGCTGCTTATAAAATGAGAAGTATTAATATAAAATGAGAAGTTTAGATGTTAGGGATATTGAATTCACTCAGGCAGATGTCACTAAAGAGATGTGGCTAATGTAGCATTAAACATCCAGTAGAGCACATGTGATTATTACTCAACTACAGAATCATGACAAAATGTCAAGCCTGAACTTTGTATCTGTTGACATTAATGACTGATCATCTACTCTTTCCAAATGGAAAATACATTTTTTTCCCAATTTTGTTTTTCTCTATCACTTAACTATCAGTTAAGAACTCAAATGCCACATTCTCCTATATTGGTGAGGGCAAACCTTTTAGAGCTTTGAATGATACAAACAGCCTGCTGTGGCATGGTTGCCATAAGTTTGCCACCACTATCCTATATCAGTGTTTAGAAATTATGGCTTCTCTGGTGTTTGCTTGTATATATACTTTTTGTTAATTTATAGAAGCCAATGAAATATTTGGTGTGTGTTTTACTTGGCTTAAGTCTAAAATTAAACCACAACAATTAGAGACTGATTTTTTTTTAAGTGAGAGGAAAAACAGGGAAGCAAAATGGTTAATTGTAGGAGGTCTGTTTTTATGTTTATTTTATCAACAAATTTCAATTTTCTTAACCACTTGTTAAATATGTGAACAGCTTATTTGATGAATTTACCAAAATAAGAACTCAGTCTCTACTTTGTTTACTTAGAAAGCTATCACTTATTAAATTATTTAATTTTTTGGCTTATGTATTTTTTTGCATTTAGTACATGTTAAAAAGTATAACTGTTAATTTAGTTTAGACAAATGCTATTGTTTATGAACCTTGCTACTACTTAAATACTACGTATTTTATGTAACACTTCAAGTCAAAAATATCATGTGCATTGCTGTTAACCATTTTTAGAGTAGTTATGGATATACATACATGCCCCCCCGCACATATAGTGAGGATGGATACCTTGCAAAAATACAATCTTTCTGGAGAATAATATTAAAATGAACACAAAAAATGATTTAAAACACGGAAAAGATTCTTGGGAGGTATCCTAGAATTTCTACAAAATTAGAAGGAAAAATAAAAAGAACAAAATGTCTTCTATTACTTCTAGGTAATTAAAAAAATTAAAATACATGTTGATGCTATCTTTACAAAGTATGTCTTACCCAGCAAGACTGGCCATCATGAAGGACAGAAAGCAAAACAAATGCTGGTGAAATTTTGGGAAAAAGAAATCCTTCCACATTGTTATTGGGAATGTAAAACAGTAAAACTACTGTGGAAATCAATATGGTGATTCTCAAAACAGTGAAAACAGAAATTCCATTTGGACCACCAATTCCTCTTCTGAGTAACTTCTCCAAATAATTAAAGCCATCAATTATAGTGATACATGCATAACCATGTTTATAGCAGCACAGTTCAAAATAGATAAATTATGAAAAGCAGCCCATATATCCATCACCAAATGA